GTCTCTTGCAGTTCTCTGGACTGTACATCACTTTCTTCTGGCTCTGTTTCCAGTGCACGTAACATAGCAGTCAGATTCATGTTTTCGTCTTCAGCGTCTCGCAACTGAAACAGCATTCACATTAAAAGATAATGCGCGATTGCAGATAAAATCCTCAGGCGTTAGAAACTTTTAGCGAGCGCTCACTGCAATAACTGTAAGAGAATTTTAACGTTTAGTAACAGTTGCTGGAAAACCCTAATTAAACGCTTATGCATAATCCTTACTAATTTACAACTGCAGAGCTTTCAAAAAAATGTGGCAAGAAAATTTATCGTTTTACAGTCAAAAAAGAACCAAAGTAATTTCATTAAACTTTTTTTTCTTTTATTAAAATCATAGCTCACTTTAGCTGTAAGATTTTCATTATCTTTCTTCAGTTTTTTGTTTTCGGCTTCAACGAGCTGAAATCTGCTTTGAATATTCTTTATTTCATTTTCAAGATCATTTGAACGTTTTTCTGCTTCTTGTAACTAAAACATCATATGCTGTAAAAATAAAGCATATAATCATAGATAAAGTCCATCAGATATTGAAATCTTTTGCTCAAATGTTCACTAAAATGGCTTAAGAGTTGTAAAATGCAAACGTTTGGTGTTAGGTACCAAGCAATATTGCTAATCTCTTCATTGTGAATATTTTCAAACTTACTAATACGGTATCGATTAGAAACAGTAATCAAAAAAGAGTCGACCTGTAAACAGACAAGCATCGAAATCATTTTTCTTTTTGGTAAACAAATGACTGACCTTATTTTTGAGTTCTTGATTATCGCTTTCTAAGAAAGCATACTCAGGCTGAACCAAATTTATTGCCTTTTCGAATGTAATTTCGCTGTTTAGACGTGCTTCTTGTTCTGATAGATTAGAGTCCTAAAAATATTAGAGTGCTCTTTTAAAATACTGCCTCAAAAAGTTGGTTGAGCCTAAATGTCTCGTAAATTTCAGTATTTTTTAGCTTGTCACTTTTTTTACTATATTTCCAGATTTGATCAAGGTAAAACTAATAACACAGTGATTGTTCACTTTTTGCACGGAATAAGAAAGGTTTTACAAAAATTTGTATCAAATATTTCACAGAAAAGTTTTTTAGCCGAAACCTTGTACAAAGTGACAATGCAGAAAGAACACGCTTTTTGTCAACCATTTATAATTAACGTCTTAAGGTTGTACTTAAGTCTTTCTAAATCGTACATTTATTATTGGTTGCGTAGCTGGACGGTTAAGGCGACGATGTCTGTAAGGTCACTTTCAGCCTCTTATTGAATAAAAGACTTTTCAGAATCTATCTCCTTATAAAAGCTAATACCTGCTCAGTACTTGCTTAATTAGATTTAATCAGTTAAATTTTGAGTACTTTTCATCAACAGTGTAGAAGCAACAAGAAGTTGATAAACTTTTCAGCCATTTTTTGTCAAAAACTGTGGTAAATTTGAGGTGAAAAAAACGAAAAAGAATAATGCAGTTCAACTGAAGAAAAAGAGCATTACGGTTTCTCGTTTGGAGAATCAGGCGAAACCGGCGAATTCTGCACATTTGGCGACTTGGCACCTCTCCTCTGAAACCACAACGAATAAACCCATTAAAAACAAATGTTTTTGTAAAAATAAAACGCCAGCGGATTTCCAGGTATTCCTAACCTTGAGAAAAATAAATTGCAGAAAAACCTCTCTATAGAGTATCCCAACAAAAGTCGCCGCAAAAATGGTTCTTTTTTTTGCAGACTTGAACTATACCGAGTCTTCTCTGACCACAGTTCTTATATAAAAACCATTTTTTCTGCTAGTTTCTTGCTTTTTTTCTTCAAGCCTAACGAAGATATAAAACCGCACACATTAAAAATTTGCTGAAGAATTCTGTTTTATCGGAGCACTGCATAAGTTCATTACGCTTTAAACACTATTTGGAAAAAAACGAAAATTATTGCGAAGTCGAAAACGTGACAGCTGTTTTGACAGTCCTCCAATGCAATATCTACGGAACCTGTAGATCAAACTTTACCGACGAGCAATTTTTTGCTTTGAGACAGGTCAGCTTTAGGCTACTTTAGGTAGTGATCACGAAGAGATTATCAGTCGTGATTTGACGAACTGGTAAATCAGGATGTTTGAT